CTAGATCAATTTGATCGGGAGTTATTGACGAAAAACTAATGTGACCTTGATGACGTCATAAATGACGTCACGGAAGGTCAACATTGCAAAGGTGACGCATCTAACCTTGCAAGGAGTGCATCAAATCACGATTCTGTGTGCTTGAGATAGTTGGAGATCGTTCCCGGCGCCAGAATAGCAGTTTTCATTTTTCCCCATTGACTTATAATGGTGAGGTCACGAAAATGACCTGACCTCATATGAACTTTAGGAAGAATCCGAGATATACAAGTTGTGAGACTCATAATGGATACCTACTAGATCCTGCAAGTTTCATTTCCCTCTGACATCTCCTCTGGCAGTGAGGGCGTTGCGAAGTTGCGACATCTGAAGACCGTGCAGAGGTTCACTTATGACGTCATAAGTCAGTGACCTGACCTGACCCAAAAATGGGGTTGGTGTCAAAAGATGCGGCTTGGATCAAAGGTCAGGTATGCCAAGTTTCATCTCTCTATCGCCAGCGTGTTCGGAGCTATCGCGAAAAAACCCTATGGGGGGGGGCGGCACCCGCCCCCCCCCCTCGGCCGGCGAGGGTTAACCATCACCCGTCTCAGTGTTCCGACTGACTAGCCTTCGAGTCGGAAATTCATCTTCGAGTTTATTCTCGGCTTTGTTGGAATAGAATGTCAACCACGCAGTGGGACGAGGGGCTGTACCTACATCAATGTTATATCACGGATCCCAGCTTCAAGCTATTTGTTTTTAATCTAAGGCACAAATATGTAAACCCAATATGATTACAGTTGCAGCGGTAAACCCCTGTAAGCGCATCAATGTGCGCTTACAGAGTTCATCATACTAACGGGAATTCATCTTCGAGTTTATTCTCGGCTTTGTTGAAAAAGAATGTCAACCACGCAGTGGGACGAGGAGGGGCTGTACCTACATCAATGTTACCTATATCACGGATCCCAGCTTCAAGCCATTTGTTTTTAATCTAAGCACTATAGGCACAAATATGTAAACCCAATATGATTACAGTTGCAGCGGTAAACCTGTAAGGGCACCAATGTGCGACGTGCGTTCATACCAGGTTTCATGAACCACAACTATTGGATAGCTGCAGTTAGCTGTTATAGCCAATTACTGATTGTTGTGAGCTATATGTATTCACGGACGCACCAGGCGCAGCTATCAAAACGCGAAATGTGTGGATTTAACCGATATCTTCAGGAGTTGATGTGTTCCGCGCTCTTTGCAGTTGTTTGTTGTCGTTCTCTCGTCTGTTTACCCTCGTTAACCGTTGTGACCATAGTTGTGACGAACTATCGCCAGGGCTGGACAGCCAGAAGGACATCAACGGAGTGCCCTACACGACACTGTTGTACGGAAACGGACCCGGCTACGTCCCTGAGCGTAACATCACCCGCCTGGAGAGAACGCAGTGAGTGGGGCGCGCGCCCGGGCTGTGACTCAGCGACAGACGTGCGCTAACGGTCCGGCAGTGGTCTCGTTTGTTGGTAAAGTGACAGGGTGTAGCTTTATCGATGCATCATTGGTTTGGCCATCTCTGACACGTTCCAGCAAAGCGCACCGTCTCATCTTGTCTAGCGTCTACATTGTTTGCAACCGCATCCCTGACCGCTGATCGCTCCGTTGACCTCCGGCCGTTCCATCCTCTGACCCATTCTGTTCTCAGACCACCATTTCTCTCTCCAGACCATCCGTCCCGGCTCCTCCGACCTCACCGTTCCCTTAACTGACCTCCCCGTCTCCTCCTATGACCTCTCAGTCCCTCTCCCCTCTTCGTGTCCCCTCCTCTAACCCCACCGCACCCTCTCAGTCCAGCCTCCCCGTTCGCTCCACTTATTTCCCATCTCATCTGAACCCACTCCCCAGTTCCCTGACCTCCCCGCTCTCCGGCAGCGACTCCCCAGTTCCCTGACCTCCCCATTCTTCGGCAGCGACTCCGAGTACCGTCAGGAGACAGCCGTCAACCTGAGATATGAGACGCACGCCGGCGAGGACGTACCGGTCTACGCCACCGGACCGCGCAGCCACCTCTTCACGGGCACCTTCGAGCAGTCGTACGTGGCACACGCCATCTCGTACGCCGCCTGCATCGGACACTACCGTAACCAGTGCCAGCGGCCAGTGGAGGAGGTGAAGGCCGGTGGCGACACCTATCGACCGCAAGCGCTACTAGTGGTTCTAGGCGTGACGATGGCGGCGCTCCGCGCCAGACAGCTGGGACAGTGGTAACACGAGCGAATGGCGAGGGAGGACGGTAAAGACTAGGAGTGAGGTAGAACTGGCCAACGGGCGTGAAGCGATGTCTTTCAGGTGATGCCTGCGCCGCATTGGCGGGGCTGGGGAGGGACATGAAGAGGGTCGACAAACGCTTAGGCTGCTTTGTTGAACTTAACTGTGATTTGGTTTTGAGTTGCTTTGCGATCGGCTGGTTCGCAAGACACACCGTTTCGTGCTTCTATCCTCAGGATACAGAAATCCTTCTCCTCCACGCCGCAACCCCCTCCGGGCTGGACAGGCAACTTTATCTCATGCGGGCTGCTCCCTTGGAGCGGCACCGCTGCTCCTGAGGGAGCGCACCCCGTAGCCGGGTGCAGTGAGTGCCTTGGGGCTGGGTCGCCTGTCCTCTGGACGGGCTCAGCCCCGGCGACTCACTAGGGTGCCTGCCCAAACCAATGTCTCCCCCTAATTCCTATCATCCTTCCGGCTCTGCAATGGTCTTGTCGACCGAAAGGGCCTAACCCAACAAAACAAACAAAAAGGTTCGCAAGAATCTCAAGTGGTGCCGGGTTGACTGAGATTGGACGTAGGCGAGTGGGCACTGGGCAGGCATCTCTGCTTTCCTTCTGAGGAATGTATTTGTATGAGTTGATGTTGTACGAAATGGCCCACGCTAGCAAGTGTTCGTTTTATGCAGTTGTTACCGCATATTTATAGGCTAGGGTGCATTGCGCGCTTTTGCCGTTCTTGGCAATGCATAATTTTTTTAGCATGGTGACGCCGGCTTACCAATGCGCCCCATAAACGATGCCCTTCTTGGTAAAATCCAGCTAGGTTACTTTCATTACGCATAGCAAAACTCATGACCATTCACCAGCCACTAACATTACAGTACGAACGGTTAGTACTGCCCGAACCATGACAGAAGGCAGCATAATAATAAACACACTTTTTTCGAAAATGGTGTAGTTGCAATCCGAATTCTGATCCAAACTGCCATAGTACTCCATCAGCGAGGCCGTTGCTCGTTCCGCGAGGCCGTTGCTCGTGCCTGCCGATCTTGCGAGGCAAGATCGGCAGGCAGTCGCTTTTGTTTGTATGACAGAAATGAGAAGCAGTCTTGCCTACCTGGAAACGCATTCTTGCCAACATGCAAGATCAACTCATGATGTTCTGACGATTGTTGTGAAGTTAGTGCAGTTTTCATATAGGTATCTACAGTTTAGCTCGTGTATTCATAGCCTGGAAACGCATAACGAGCTAGGTAAAATGCGGGCCACTGTTATTCTAAAGAATGTATGTGCCAGCAAAAAGTTTTAGAAGCTGAGCCCGTGCCAACGAAAAGCGCTTAAAGTGGTGTATGAAACGAGCGGCGTGGAACGTTCAGTGTTGTGTCGTTATTCATTTGACATCATTCGCCAAGTCAAAAGTTTCATTTGATGTATTGATGATGACTTGCACTTTGTCAGCGTAAATGTTAGTGTCTTTGAAAACGAATACAATGTCATGAGTCATCACACATGATCTATACAAGCGGCTGGGTATGAAAGATGAACACTGACGATCGGATGGCTTCCGGTCACCCTCGGCAATCCACCAGCGGTATCACAAGACTCACCCTAGTGGCCGGGAGTCCTCCTTCCGGGCCCCGTCGGCACGGTCCGCCCGCCGCCGGCTGGGAGTCCGGTCCGCCCGCCGCCGGCGGGGGGCACGGTCCGTCCGTCTGACGGTCCGTCCGTCTCCGGCTGGGATACGGTCCGTCCTTCTGACGGTCTGTCCTCCTCACTGCTCCTCGCCCTCCGCCTCCTCTCCTGTGTCCCAGAGAAAGAACGCTCCACCAGCGGCCGTCACCAGTGCCGCGCGGCTCGGGTGGAACGCCAGCGAGTGGACGACCGCGGCGCGCGGGTGCGTCAGTTTGGCCGCCAGCTTGCCGGAGACGAGCTCCCAGCAGTAGACGGCGCCCTCCTCGGAGCCGGAGAGCACGTGCGCGTCGGCCGCGTCCAGACAGCTGCCCAGCGGGTACTGCCGGTTCGCGTGGCCGCTGAACTCGTTGAGCAGTTCGCCCGTCTCTCGGTCGAGCAGTTTGACGGTGGCGTCCATACAGCCGACCAGCAGACACTGGCCGTCGCGGCTGAGCGTCACGCAGGTCACCGAGTCACCCACCGTGTCCGTGGTCAGACGGCCGTTACGCAGGTCGTAACGGCGCACCCGGCCGTCGGCCGAGCCGCTGACGATCTCGTGGTCGGTGATCTGCAGCGCGGTGACGCTGTCAGTGGCCTCGTCCAGTGTCTGTACCGGCTCCGTCCGCCGGCTGCGGCAGTCGAACGCGCGCACCGAGCCGTCCACTGAGCCGGAGAGCGCCAGCGAGGCGTCCTCGCTGAACCGGCAGCACGTCACGGCGGCGGCGTGCGAGCGCCACTTGTTGAGCACGCGGCCCGAGCTCACCTCCCACACGATGACAGCCTTGTCGGCGCCGCACGACAGTAGCCGCGAGTTGTCGCACGCGCCGGCCGCGTCCAGCACCTCATGGCCGTGGCCCAGGTAGGTTTTCAGGTGGGTGCCGCGGTAGGGGTTCCACAGTTTGAGCGTCTTGTCGGAGCCGGCGGTTAGACAGAAGGCGCCGTCTGCGCTGAGCCGCGCCGCCCGCACCGCCCCCTGCTGGCAGTCGTGCTGCCGCCGCAGCACCGTTGGCAGGCTGGCCGCCGCCCCCGACCCCGCCGGAGCCCCGTCAGCCGGGGCGGGGGCGGGGGCGGGGCCGATGGCCGGGCTGGGCTCAGACATCGCCCAGAGCAGACTTCGCTGCTACACTCAGCTCAGAACTTGCACCAGTTATCTGCAAATGAACCACGAAACCAATGATCACCAAGGGAAAAGTGAGATATACGGCTGCTCATGGCTAACTTTCAGCATACTTCATACAGCTGTGCTTGTGCCACATTTTTGTAGTTGATCATCGTATGTGCGAATGCGTGAGGGGAATCGAAACGTCGATTTGTTGCAAAGAAATGTTACAATGACCAACGATTTATTTGGTAAAAACATTTAAAGCTAAAAGAAAATGAGCAAACAACTATCTAGCGATTTCTTCCACCTATGCTGGACCAGCACAACATATTTTGCAACGGAAGCAAAAACGATCGCATCATACGGTAGTTATGTGTACCACACAGATGCATCATGCAACATAATATAATTCGAGAATATTTATAGCCAGTACCCATGAAAATGTTCAAACGAGAAATGCAACCGTGTAGCACATACTCAAAAAGGAGTTATCGCTCGGAAAAGGTACTAGGCACTAACAAATATTTGGTACATGATCGCCGTTTCGCTATAACGCATTATTCTCGACGTTTCGCGCGCACACAGCCTTCCTGCCCCTCCGGTTCCGCCAACAGCGCACTCACGTGTCACCCACCCCCGGGCCTCTCGCCCCTTCACTGGGCGATGGCGCAGCCGCCCCGGGTCACCGTCCCTCCACCGGACGATGGCGCAGCCGCCCCGGGCCGGTGGCGCCCGCTCACATGAGCCGTCCGCCGCCGAGGAAGGTGGCCGCGGCCGGGTCACTGCCGAACCTCCTCCGGCCGGCGGGCAGCAGGCTGTCGAGCCGGGCGCGGGGCAGCGCCAGCGGCGGCTGGAAGCCCAGGCTCGGCAGCCGGTCGTACTCGCCGCCGATGATGCCGGCGATCGGCGGCGCCATCGGTGCCGGCTCGAACCAGCCGCTGGGCACTGGCGGCAGCGGCAGCGGCGGCGGCGCGGCGCCCGGGAACCACTCGGGCCGGCGGCGCAGCTCGGCACGACGCCGGTGCAGCTGGATGTAGAGCGCCTTCCAGTCGGCCGACGGCTCCAGCGCCGACAGCGAGCCGCTCTCGGACGGAAAGTCACGACAGACCAGGTCACGCCAGAGCAGCGGGTCATCGGCGCGCAGCCGCATCTCGCGGCTCGTGCAGCGCATGCGCAGTAGATCGGGCGCGCTGAGCCGGCGCAGCACCAACAGCTGCAGCTCGAGCGGCAGCGCGCGCCACTCGTGCGGCGAGACCAGGCCGACGGAGCGCTGCAGCGCCACCAGCAGCGGCACCGTGATGCCGTTCTTGAACGTGTTGGAGAGCTGACGCAGGTTCTGGAAGCGCTCGGCCGTCTCGCCGGACTCGGTGGCGGCGATGAAGTCGCGGGGCCGGAGCGTGACGCTGAAGATCTGTGCGCCGCCGGCCGGCACCGCGTGTACCACCATCACGTTGCCCATGGGCACGGCGCTGAGCACCGCCGTCAGCGCCATGTTGAAGTGCAGCCCGTAGGTGATCTGGTAGAGGCCGGGCCGTTTCCAGCCGGGCGGCAGGTGCCAGCGGCGCGGCGCAGGCGGCCCGCCCGGGAAGTAGCCGGCCGTGCGGCAGTGTGAGGGCGGCTCGGGCCCGGCCGGCGCCGGCTCGGCCTCGGCCGCCGGGCCCGGCACGGCCGGCGCCACGCTCGGCCGGAAGCCGCCGGCGGCCGCGCCGTGGCCGGGCTCCGGCTGCAGCGGCTGCAGGCCGGCCTCCAGCATCAGCGCGTGCAGTGCCAGCACCAGCAGGTGCTCGGGCGAGTCGGCCGGCGCGCGCTCCGCCAGCCAGGTGAGCAGGCGCGGCAGCCGGCCCGGCCGCGCGTCACGCACCAGCAGCGGCTCGCTGCTCTCCGCCACCGGCCGCTCGGCCTCGTCCGGCTCCCCGCCCTCCTCCCGGTCCCCCTGCTGGCCGACCGGACGGGGCTCCACGTGCAGAGAGGGCGGCGGCGGCTCGGCGGCCACCACGCGCTGTGTCAGCGGCGGATCGAACTGGGCGTCCAGCACGTGCAGCTGGTCGCCGCTGACCACGCCCAGCTCAGAGAGCGCGCTCTCGCGCACACTCTCCGCCAGCGGGTCGCGGCCGTTCAGACTCAGCTGGCAGGCGGTGATGCGGAGACCGATGCGCGCGGCCACCTCGTCGGCGATGCGCGCCGTGACGCCCTGCACGGAGGCGTCCGGCTCGTCCACAGCCAGCTGCAGAGACATGCTCAGCTCCTTGATTTTAACGCGCAGTTTCATGGCGGAGTAGAGGGCAGGGCCTGACGTTTCTGCAATGCCGCCACACAATCCGATCAGTGCGCTGTGGAAAACAGTTAACCCGCCCCTGCTGGGGCAGGGGGTGCTTGAATACCCTGCCTGCAGTTTTTCGCGAATTTCTAAAAAAAAATTATCATAATCTTTTCTGCACATGTTCAGACCAAGGTTATTCAAGATCAGGTCACTAGGTCACTTCAAGTGACCTCACCTCATAAAAAGTGTCAATGTCTGTCATAGCTACACCGAGAGACCGATCGCTTTGAAACTTTTAGCGACTGATAAGAGCCACAGTATGTACAAAATGTATATGTTGAAATTTTGATGTCGCAGACCTAAGGTCGGACTAATTTTGCGACCTCCGTCCCAATTATAACTGGGGCCGGGGGAATATTGAAAGACGCCATTTTTTGACCAACGACATTTTAAACATTCCCAAACACTGAATTACAAGTAAAAATGACACACCGAACATGAAAATGGCACCCGTGGTGACCCCTGTTTATGCGCTGAGATGATCGTGACCTAACAGTTTTTTTCGCAAATAACTTTTGATAGAGGCATGCTAGAGCGATGAAAACGCCTTAGATGTGTTCAGCTCGACGATACGGATCGACTGATATGCAACATGACCCTTTCCGGTCAGGTCATGACCTTGACCTGAGGTCAAATTTTCAAGTTGACCTTTCAAGGCCAATTTATAGTTCATTCGATGCGTCTTGACGAGAGGAACACGGTGGCGGTAAAAGTAGGCTCGTGCAACGTTTGATTCAAAAGTTCATGCAGAAAAATCATTTCCGCAAACTGCGTTTATTTTGACATTTTTTTTGCCCCCTACAGGCAAAACCGTTGACGCCCGGTGGCCGATCAAATTTGAGAGGGATAATCAGCAACCGCGTTAATAGGGCCATCAAATGCGCTTTTCCGGGGCGTTGTGGCTCTACAGGCCTACAGGGTGTCCCGAAATTGATGGCCCCTTGTCGCGGGTTACGTATTGTTCAAGTACCGCCGTCACAGCAACGAAATTTTACCGGGACCTGACCCCTGGGCATCGCCGCGTATTGGCCGATCACGTGACCCCTCCCGGTGACCTGACCCTGGGTCAAGCGTGGCGGCAGAAGAAGCCATTTCCCAAGAAACACTCAGGACGTGCGGACGCGGTATCATCCATGGTGAAAGAGTATCTCTTATCGATACCCTCTCACACTGTGGGCATGATGAACGGCGGCCTGACCCAAGTCCAGGTCGCCACGCACTGAAGATTGTGAGGTCACTTGTGCAGCTGAAGATTGGGCCAAGAGCCCTCAAACGCTGGATGGTCCTCGACCGCCGAGAAGAGACGCTGGAGAATCGCAAGGGCAGAGGGAGGAAGACGACCATGAGTCGAGTGGCAAACATCGTCGTGGCCAAGTCAGTGCTGAAATGGCACCAGTCAACAAGAAAGTTGGCGCGAAAACTGACTGTGAAACAGCATCCAGTCTCCAAGTCGGCCGTGCACCACTATTTGCAGCACCGCCTGTAGCTGAATCCACTGAAACTGCGCAGGCAGCTCAGGCTGACAGCAGCCCAGCGACAGAAACGGCTGGACTTCGCGCGAGGTCGCCTAAACTGGTCTATCCAGGAGTGGGGGACAGGTGCTCTTCTAAGACGAGTCTCCGTTTGAGTTGCACCACCCGCCGAACCGCCAAAACGACCGCGTCTGGGCCAGCTCCAGCTGGCCCCGCCTTTTGAGCGAAGGGAGTATGGTCGGGAAACAGCCCAGACCTGTCGCCCATCGAAAACCTTTGGGCGTTCGTCCATGACAAGGTCGACAAGATGGACCCAGCGACGTCAAAAGCCCCTCTCGTCGAAAACGTCCGCTCGGCCTGGCGCAGCATTTCGGCAGAGGTGCTGGATAACCTGATGTGTGGGATGCCGGAGCGCATGAGGGCCTGTGTGGAGAAGCGTGGCGACTTCATCAACAAATAAACCGTAAATAGGACTTTCTTTGTTTTCTTGTCATTGCACGAAATTGAAGAGGCCATCAAATTCGGGACATCCTGTATTAGTTTCCGCGTTATGCGTCGGATTGTTGAAAATTGTCGACATTCGACCTAAAAATCGGCGAAATTTAGCCTTCCATGACCTCTGTTGACCTGACCTTTGACCAGACAAAAAAGAAAAGAAAAAAAAGACCCAAGTAATTTCGTCATTATTTTGGACGCTCTTTCGAACACCACCTTCTCCGTATCGCTACGTGGCCCAGGAGGAGGGTTAGAAGGGGGGGGAGGTGTTCAAACACCCCCCTCCCAGCAGGGCGTGGAAATCCAGGACCCTCAGCGGGGCGCCGGTTAAGTATTGTAGTACAAATCTAAACTTTTTATCAGCAGCCCCGTTAACCCGCGCCCTGCTGGGGGGGGGGTGTTTGAACACCCCCCCTGTGGTTTTTCGCGGATATCTCAAAAACGGCGGCGCGGAGCGCCGCCGTTTTTGGTACACCTTATCATACATCAATTCTACACATGTTGTGAAAATTTCAGACCAAGGTCATTCAAGGTCAGGTCACCAGGTCACTTGAAGTGACCTCACCTCATAAAAAGTTTCAATGTCTGCCATAGCTACACCGAGTGACCGATCGCTTTGAAACTTTCAGCGATTACTAAGAGCAATAGCATGTACAAAATGTATATCTCAGAATTTTGATATCGATGACCTAAGGTCAGGTCAATTTTGCGACCTCCCCATTATAAGTCAATGGGAGAAAATTGAAATGCGCCTCTTTTGGAGGAAAAGCATTATAAACACTCCCAAACACTGAATTACAAGTGGTTTAGACACACTGAACATGAAAATGGTGTCCGTGACCCCTGGTTATGCCCCTGAGGTCATCTTAGGTCACGAATGGTATCTAACAGTTTTTCGCAAATAACTTTTGATAGAGGCATGCTAGAGCGATGAAAACACCTTAGATGTGTTCAGCTCGACGATACGGATCGACTGATATGCAACATGACCCTTTCCGGTCAGGTCATGACCTTGACCTGAGGTCAAATTTTCAAGTTGACCTTTCAAGGTCAAGTTATAGTTCATTCGATGCGTCTTGACGAGAGGAACACGATGCCGGTAAAAGTAAGCTCGTACAAGGTTTGGGTCAAAAGTTATTGCAGAAAAACTGTTTCCGAAAAAAATCGGCTATTTTTGCAGTTTTTGCCCCCTGCAGGCAAAACCGTTGACGCTAGGTCAAATCTGAGAGAATTACTCAGAAAGAGCGCTAATAGGGCTATCGAATGCGCTTTTCTGCAGCGCTGTAGCTCTATTGGTTCCCGAGTTATGCGTTGGCTTCTTGGAAATTGTCGACATTCGACCTGGAAATCGGCAAAATTTCGCCTTCAATGACCTCTGGTGACCTGACCTTTGACCTGACCAGAAAATTGACCGAAGTAATTTCGTCATTATTTTTTATGCTCTTTCGAACGCCGCCTTCCGCGTATCGCTACGTGGCCCAGGAGCCGAGTTAGAAGGGGGGGGGGGGGGTGTTTGAACACCCCCCCAGCAGGGCGTGGAAATCCAGGACCCCCAGCAGGGCGCGGGTTAACCCGCGCACCACTGGGATCACTGAACTATATAATGGGATATTGACTGGGACATTCAGCCGAACGCGCCTTGCGGCCGATTTAATAAAACTTGGCAGTACAGGGTGTCCCACAAGTTTCTTTACACTCTTTTACGTCCAATAAAATCTATAGAGACACGTGTTCTGTCAAAACCGATTACATTATGGCGACCTCTGACCTGAGCTGATGACCGCTGACCCAATGTGATCGTTTTTTCCTTTGCACGGCAGTGCTGCACAGGGTCATGGTGAAGGGGCAGGGTCAACCCCGGGCCCCTGCTAATGAGTGCAGCGTCACATGTGAGCACAAGGAAACTGGGCATCGGTCAGCATTTGAGTACCATATCTATATATCAGCCTTGTGTCTTCTCTCATTTCAATATGGAAGAACTCCGACTTCTGAGCTTGTGACAGAAAATCATTCTTGTTCAATTAGCTTTTTATCCAGTCCAGTTTTTATTATTAGTTATGAAACTATCATTTGAGGCATAGATAAGCATCTGCATAAATAGTAAGAAGGTCAAAATTTGGCATAACCTTTGACTAATCTAGAAATTTAGTGCAAAACTGCTTGTGTGAGTGAGTTGTGTGACATTTTGGCATATGGAGAGTCCCTGGAGTATCTGGCATAGTGTAATATTTTTCCAGTCAGGCTTTGTGATTTCTGACTTCTGAGTGCATGATAATGCTAAACTCGCTGTTTCATGTTGTGATTGTAGCAATTTTCACCTAATTTTTATTGTAGAAGTAGAATAGAAGTTAATTGACAAACTAAGATCTATACAGTAGAATCTGCTAAATAAGTCCTCGAATAATAAATCCAGCTGCTTATTGCAATTGTGGCCACTAGAGCTGTTCACGTATTTCTCCAGGGTAACATAACTGACTCAGGTTAATAAAGCCATCGCTTTAAAAATCCAAAACTCTGTGTCACCAAGGTGGATTTACTAAGCGGATTATACTGATACTGTATCAGCAAAAAGCTTGATCATCACAAAATGCTATTGTGGCATCGTCAACACCTTGCTGTTTTAAGTAGAACCGAAGTAATAATCACAGTGAGGAATGCATTTTGAAAATTTCACTTTCTTTTAACCCTATTAGTGGCAGGGGGGGGGGGTATTTTTATCCACCCCTCAGGTTTTTCGGGAATATCTCCGAAACCGCTGAAGCTACGATGCTGAAATTTTCTGACTTTTCCTAAAACTAAATTGGGCACATTCCCTGAAAATTTCAAGTTCAAACCTTTACCACGGGCGGCTCCAGAGCACTGGGAATTGGGGGGTCCTATTCATGAAGCGAGTCATTTGGGGTGAAGATCACGATGCTGATGTATTATAACTGTATACACCAGTTTTACGAACATTGAATGAAAGGTATCATGTGATAACATATACAAAGTTATTGTGCATCCTCTTTTGACACGTTTTTGCTATAATAGGCGGATCCAGGCGTCCAAAAAGGGGGGTTATGTTTTACCTCCCATTTCCCAACATAGGTGCCCTGACACCGCCTATGCATGACCAATGCAATTGTAGTCGTTTTCTCATAAGAAAATTGTAACATAACAAGACCATTGCCACCCTTTTTAGAAACAGTACCAACAAAAACTTTATTTACTATACTTTTTGTGTACCCCCAATCTCAATGATCTGTATCCGCCTATGATTTTTGAAAATGCATATTTTTAGGATCCATGTGAATTCCTGGTTCATTCTCTATCGATCGGCAAAAGTTGCGTTAAGATTGGTTCAGAAACCTGGCCGTGATAAACAGTCTAAAATGTATCTGCAATTTGCCCGTTTTTACCCCCTCTACCCCTCCTATTGACATTTTTTAATTTTTAATTTTTAGAAATGTAGATCACGTTGAGCGAAATCGAATGCCGTTTGAATTTTGAAAATCGGCCCGTTAGATATTGAGATATCAAGGGGGGTCGTAAACAGCCCCCCTGCCACTAATAGGGGTAGCCAGGAGCCTACCACTAATAGGGTTAAGCTCAAATTTTAATCTCAGAAATTTTGAGTCTTGGCAAAACAGCGCACATCTTAAAAAACAACACTGGAAATCAGAAATGAAAGTGGAAAGCTCCTAAAAGTTGACCTGATAACAGATAATCACATAAAAATATGATAAAACACGGCTTACAAATCGATGAAAAGGAAATATACAAAAGATCCCTTACCTAATGTTATCCTCCCTCCACGTACTTATATCTATTATATTCAAATTAAATTGAATTAAAACAACTCAAACTGGGATTAAAACTGAAACTTAAAAATGCACAAGCTAGGAACGTCTCAAATGCGCACTTTATGTCTTTATTTGTTATCACCATATTCCGACTGATTGCTACCACTTTCAGGGGAAACGTTGCTTTTCCTTCCCTGATAAAGAATTCTTGCTTTACTTATTCCGTTTTCATCACACACGGTAGGCAGACACTATTAGCGCCGCCACGGGGGGGGGGGCAAGCGGAGCAGCTTGCCCCCCCCCAACCTCGGACCGGGCACCCCCTGAGATCGATACAGATCCGATGAGATTTTGGAGTCGGAAAAAATGGGGGGGGGGGGGGGTAGGGGAAGTTGGGGCAATGCCGGAGTTGGGGCAAAGCCGAAATTCGAGATATTTCGAAAACCGTAAGACATGGATGCCACCTGTCAGAGATGCTCTGAAGCTTAACCCTCGCCCGTAAACGGCGATCTGCCACCTTCGCCCATGCAGGGGGGGGGGGGTTGGTGCGACCCCCCCCCCTTGGCGTTTGAAAACGGAGCGTCGTAGAGCTTAGCGGAAAAGACCAACGGATTGCTCTCGCCGAGATCTCGCGATTGGTGGTATATTTTTTGGTCATAGGTCAACATTTGACCTACTTTTGACCGGTCAAAGGTCAAATTTTCGGAAAAATAGACTTATTTCAACTTTCGGCGGCGATTGCGGCAAAACGGTGGGAGATACTGACTTGAAACCTTCACTATCGTGTTCCTTGATCAATTCTCTATTGTTTGGTATGTATTTCGTTTCCCTAGCTCTAAAAATGGCGCGTTGGGAGCGCCGGAAGTCGGCAAGGTCACAGTCGGCGGCAGAAATTCGAAAAATCAAAATTTAAATTTTTGAAATATGATTGTATTTTTGGATTTGGGAGGTCCATTTGCTCCCTATAGAAGCTAATATTGCTGCATATTCCCATTGAGGTGACAAGAATTAGCAAAATAGTGGTTCGGGCGCTTTTCAAAAATAGTACCGGACGCTGTTCCTCTTGTGACGTCATAGCTCCGTGACCTGACCTGACCCGGTCAAGTTTTTTATACCATACGATAGCCAATACTTGCCCCAACATGCATGGGAAGTTTCATCACGATCCATCAACCGATCTCCGTACCACCGGCAGGAAACCTCGGGCGTTGGCACTCAGTTTGTGAAAATCCGGCCGGAGGCTGTTCCCTTTGTGACGTCATAACTCCGTGACCTGACATGACCCGGTCAAATTTTTTTTTATCAAAAGATGCGCAAGGTTTGCCCCATAAGGTACCCAAAATTTGGCGGCGCTGCGCGCCGCCGTTTTTGCACTATTTCCGAAAAACCTCAGGGGGGGGGGGGTTGCACCAACCCCCCCCCCTACATGGGCGAGGGTTAAAGGGACCCTCCCACCTTAACATTAGATTTGAGTTGAGATAGCCAAAATGGGGTCCCTGGCTCACAATTACCGGTTTCGGCACTCACAACATCGAAAAATGCCTTAAATCGGAAATATTGAATTTCAAAATTGCAGCATTTTGATTCAGAGGGGCTAATGCTTAGGAATACCCCTCTGAATGTGTGACGTCAGCGCAGATATCTAACGATTTTTAAATGTTTGACTAAAACGTTTTGTAGCACGCGGTGGTATATGCTATTTGCGCGCAACATCTGCCGCAAACGCCGCACTTCTAAAATAAAGTCGCTAGAAACAGCGGAGATCCCAAAAAAGTAAACAAAAGTAAAAGTCTAATATCTTGAAAACCGGTGAATATTTTTCGGTGAAATTTGGTAGATATTCGTTTTCGCTCTTTCTGAACCGAGCGACATCACTTTAATGCCAATTCATAAACTTTTTTGAAGGTGGGAGGGTCCCTTTAAGTGACTACAATTATCGCATGTTTGTTACGAGTCGTCATTCGGAATACTTCGGCTGTGAGGGCGCCAAGAGCGTTTTCAAGGTACGCGTTCCTTGTACTACATGCGCCTTTGAAGCTGCATTTCTTACTCATTATGCTACCGTTTGTCTGGCCAATTCAGTCAAGTAATCTTCAGCATGTCTTTGCATAAGTGTGCTGCCTATTTGAAATTTATACGGCACGTTGAAAAGTTATGGGCCTGCAAATGAAAGTATGGCTGGCTGGGGTAATGCCGAAAACGTGCAATTCGCACGTTAAAGCACGCTACGTGGACTTTACTGCCGTAGAATAGCAATGCGAATTTTTAGTCACACAAATTACACTTTCAACCGACACAAAGGCCTGTTACCTATAAGGAATTATTTACCTGGCATTTTCTTATTATATCACACATAACTTCCAGTGTGCACCGAAGCGTCCTCAAGCTCTTAAAACGCGTGTCCGCTTTGATAAATTTTGGATAAAGTTTGAGATAATGTGGCAAAACATCAATGTCGGCATTCCTCGTAGATCATTAATCCCATTTTCGGCTTTCCCCGCAGTATGGGGCAACGCCGAAAAAGTCACTTCTTTGATATTTTTAGTTTGTGCGCTTAACGGTATGCGAATTCATCAAATGCGCCTGGTATGTTTGAAAGGCAAAAGACTGGCCTCTCGAATGACGCCAACAAGAATAGCTTATGTTGTCTACCTTGCGTGCTACGGGCGTCAGAAAAAAAGTATTCGGCGTTCCCCCAACTTCCCCTATCTACCTTTCTGAGAATGCCTGTGAGGTCAGACTCGGTTGGAGCGTGCAGTTCAAACCAGAGTCTGACTCGCAGTCGCCAAAATCTTTAAGACTCCGAGTCCAGACTCGGAAATGTCAATGCTGTGATTCCTTCCATGTTCCTAGTTCGTTCTTAGTATTACATTTTACAGCTGATTTTCATAAGTTTTGGGGTGCTGACACAATTTTCGTTCAAAGCGTGAAACGAAATCTTCGGGGCCTTTCTCAACTCTCGTCAAATGTCTGCGTCAGGCTCAAGTACCGTACAAGTGTCGCAGGCCTCATGAGCTTGCTTTAAACAAAGGCTCCTAAGGAGCTCCACTGAGCCCTAAAGAAGCTTTCAGAGGGCCACCGGCCTCTGAAAGTCCCACTGGTGTCCATGTTCTCTGAGGGCCCATACAGGGATCTTTGAGCCTTCGAACATTTCTGAGAACCTTAACTGGCCTCTGATAGTTCAGACAAACTTGAGGCGACAGACTTTGCTAACCCCAAGCCGGCATCTGAGGTGTCACAGCTCACGTGTCCCTCTGAGGTCCGCAACACATGTTTATTATGTCCCTACGTAGGGTCCTTAGGGATTCGACACAGACCCCGAGAGTTCACACTGTTATCCGAGGGCTCCAGCCTCCAGGCTCACCCTGGGCCTAGTCTCTTAGCGCCCGCCGCCCACACTGGCTTCTGAGGGCCCCACCTTGGGCTCGGAAAGTCCTAAAGCACCACGTACACGTAAATATTTGAGGTGACCCACACCGATCTCTGGGATCCTAAGCATGCTTCTGAGAGTCAGCACTGACCCTGAGTGGCCTGAAATGGCTTTGAAGTCCCAAACCTATTCCTAAGGGATCCCTTGCCGCTATGCTGTGCGTAACTTTTGGTTCCGTTTGACAGTTTTTGTTCGCGTTTGCAGCGCTTCCCTTCACACGAAAAACGAGAAACTTTTGTTCACAATCGAGTGCATATAGACCACTTCTCTGACATATTTTCCGTTTTTTTTTTCGATACACTAATAATTTCCACTTGACCTGCTCTCAGAGGTAACCGGTTGACCTGAGACCTTAAACTCGGGTACCAATCGCCGAGTCTCGTAGCGGTGCACACGCTCGTCGTTTTTCTCCGCCAGGCTCTAGCCTTATAGGGGCGAAACGGTGAGGGAGGTCGTTTACCCCTCTCGGTATAGGTACCCCCTTCCTCGACCGGGGCAAACGTAGAAGACCAATAGATCCAGCGAATTGACCTCGTCTCAGAAAAAGTCAGAATGCTCGGCATAGCTACATTGACTGAACGATCACCTAAGAACTTCAGCGATTGATAGGAACAACAGCATGTACAAAAAAATTTGCCGTTATTTGCCGTTAAAATTTTGCGTTTGCCGTTATTGAATATTTTGCATCAAAATCGGCCGACATGACGTCACTCTGACGCCATTTCCAGCCAAACAATGGTAGCTAGAAAGTTGAAATTCTACAATAAGGTGTCAAATTTATGCGGCTGTAGGTACTGCAAGTTTCGTGTTGATTCCTCTAACGGTTAGGAAGATATTGCCGAAAAACGGGAGGGGGGGGGGGGGGCTCCCCCAGACATGCGCGGGTTAACGTTTTTAGGTGCACACAATTTGCCGAGCATATCTAATGGAGAAAAACAAGGCTAAATACCACCACATATGTATTCACTTATGATCTATTCTACCATCTAACACGTGGCAAAATGTGGCACACTGAAATGCAGGGCGTTTCGACGACATTCCTTTATTTTATGGGTCTACTACCGTGCTCTTGTATGGCACTTAAATATTATTAATAATGCTTACGCTAAATTGGGCAGTACCTGAATAGAGAAATAACAACTTCTGTGGAAGCAAGATTTCATAAAAGGGGAGGGCTAAAAACGCGGGAAACCGCCTTTATCAATAGAACACGTTAAGCTCCGTTGCTATACGGCGATGCTCATGGCACTCCCTAGGGCTCGGTGTAACGGCGGTACATCAAAATAGGACTGCTCTGCCTGCACGCGGGAGAACTCGGCAGAGCATCCAGCACTACATCTGTGTCGCTTATGCTGACGAGTGACGTTGTACATTTTCACACCTCCCGAGCGAACACCAGGCGTGCACATCACGGTGTGCAAGTTAGGTACTCTCGGCTACGTGACATGTCTCACGCACACACTTTCACTCTTCGGCATGGAATGTTTCCATGGCATTGCTAGGCGTTCAAGTGAAGCGTACACAATCTACATACAGCTAATATATAACTGACATGAAACAAAACGTTAATCGTATTTCAACGCTGCTACTCTGATGCGCTTAATACATCCTATATAAATAAGTTGATAGACTGAACTCCGACCACACCTGTAAGGTCGTGCTGATGGGCTCAGTGGTAACATTGGTGGGAAAATATCAGCGATTATAATAGCTCTCGTACGTGGCCACCCTACACTAAAGGTATCTAGCTATACATTATGCGGTGCAGAGAAGTGCACGCAATATGACATGCGGTAGAAACGCATTGTCGCATTACATTAGCACATATGCCACTGACGGATGGAGTTCACACGTATGTACACTGCGCGCAGGAACACCAACAGCATATAACTGTAATGATATGTAGTGCTCGATGTGCGTTCAGCAGTCCGTTTCGTCGAGCATACCCCTACGAACACGCGACGAATATCTCATGCCACGTCAGTTTCCCGACCGACCGCTGCATTCGAGCTCAGGAATAGGGCAACAGGACGTGCTGGTCAGGACACAAGGACGTACGAATCCCGAACAGAGTACAGGGTATCATCTAAATGACGCATAGCTTTCCCTGACCTTCTAGTTCCGTTACTGTTTGTTAGTCATAGGTACACATATGCCACTGACGGATGGAGTTCACACGTATGTACACTGCGCGCAGGAACACCAACAGCATATAACTGTAATGATATGTAGTGCTCGATGTGCGTTCAGCAGTCCGTTTCGTCGAGCATACCCCTACGAACACGCGACGAATATCTCATGCCACGTCAGTTTCCCGACCGACCGCTGCATTCGAGCTCAGGAATAGGGCAACAGGACGTGCTGGTCAGGACACAAGGACGTACGAATCCCGAACAGAGTACAGGGTATCATCTAAATGACGCATAGCTTTCCCTGACCTTCTAGTTCCGTTACTGTTTGTTAGTCATAGGTACACATTTGCTTAACCTTAAAACTATGCGCGGTGTTTGTATGAGAGAAGGCATCCTTCTCTGATATTTTGTAAAAACATTACTGGTTAATTGCATGGCAAAACATGGCACTGTCTTCTACATTTTCACTATTTATTTATATCAAGTTATAACAGGCAAATGAAAACAATTTCTTACTGACCCCTGAACTCGAATATTTGCATAATGACCAGCTTTCTTTTGCTGACGCATTATGCCATTATTATAGCTATTTATTGTAACCACACATCCCGCACAAAGCGAAAATAGCCACCCAAGTATGAGCCACAGCCCCCGTTTAAGCATGAGCTCGTGTCGATTGTCAACGTTTGGCAAAAGTTTCAGCAGCGCCTCGCGCCCGTCCAGACTCGTAGGAAATAATTATATTTCAACAGGCATCTACGTAGAATACCCGGCCTCATCAGCTGCTTGTTTTGGCATCGGATAATGAACGACCCTTTCTCTACGTGGCTCGGTAGGTAGTGGTACTGTCCAGGCGGGAGGGGCTGGGTGGGTGGGGTGAGTGGAGGACTCCTACGAGCGCGCTGTGAGTCTCCTCGCTGGACTGTGCACTGGGCTGCCGCTGCCGCGCGGGCCTCTCTCACACCACGGGCGCGAGACCGGTGGCAGCACCTTCCACCGTCCACCGTCCACCGTCCACCGTCCACCGTCCACCGTCCACCTTCCACCGTCCACCGTCCACCATCAGCTGTCGCTGCGGTCCGAGCCCGCCCGGCACGCCCGGTGGCACCGCTGGTCACTGCCGCTGCACGGTTCGGCTCTCAGGCGGCGGTCGCTCGCCGCGGTCCATTCCGCAGCCACTGTACTCGCTCGCTCGCTGTGTACCGTCCCTGTCGGTCCGAGCCGCCTCCGCTCGCGGTCGGTCCGCGGAGCCCACCTCCCGGCCGCGGGATCCTCCGGGTGCGTCTCGAGGAGCTCTGAGCTGCGCTGGTCGGCTAGCCCAGCGTGCCGCTGGTGGCGCCGTGCAGCAGGACCAGCAGACCAGCGGCCAGCGCGGCGGCCGGACGGCTGCTGGGGGAGCCCGCTCGGTTGGACTCGCACACCGCCTGCCTCTCTGCAGAACACAGATCAGGTCACAGGTCAGGTCACGGCACACACCGCACACAGTGGGAGCCTCAGCCGGAGTGGGGTACATTCAGGCGATGTGTATGACAATCGTTCGTGTGCGAATCGACACTCATCTTTTGGTGTGTTGTTCGTGTTGATGTCAATTGACCGCACGCAAACGTCAATTTGATGATTTGTGTAGGGTGGCAAAAAGCATACTCTGATCCGCATTTATCAATCCATCAATCGTATAAAGTACTTCACTATAAATCGTATGAAACGTGCTGGGCTTATTTCGAGGTAAAAAACAGCAATCCGCGAGTAACAGACTATGTAATGTTTGTCATGTGAAGCTCAGGCTGTTGTTTCTTTTTTTTTTCTGCAGGCGCTACTTATTCTTAAAGTTGTTTTATTGACTTCCGGGAACGCCGAGGTTCACTCTAAATTACATCTTCATTTGTTTTTATCTACCTTGTTCAGCAGTTCAGCCTGCCACCTACGTATATTATTCCCATCAATTATTCCCTCAAGTTAAAATCCCATACATCAGTTGGCTGCTTCCCTTGAATGCTGTCATCTTTAGTACGGCGAGAAGGGAGTGCTTTATCAAGCCTTTTCGTCAAATTAGAATGCAAAACACAAAACACCCGTTGCCGACACTTCCGTAAACGAGAATTCAATTACGTAAGTAGCGAAGCACACGGTGACTTCCCAAATGTCCAGACAGTGTCAAATCAATTACACAGGCTAAATTTAGCGGTAATTGCCTGACGACAGTCGGTCTCCCGGATCCCGCTCCAGGCCGAGGCGGCTCGGCGCCATGAGCTGTTTGCGTCTCGTCGTCTCGGTGTCCGGTAGCGCCGGCGTCCCGACGGTCACGACAGACAAACTTTGGCCCCGCGACGGCCGCCCAAGTTGGACGGACGGGCCCGGCGACTGCCCGCCGCGCATTACTGCTGCACGGCGGCCTCAATGTTGCACCAGCTTCCTGGGTACGCGGCGCGGAAAACCGACCGGCCGGTGTCGAGCGATCCAGAATTATCGGCGGCAGGGTTGCGGAGTCGATGGATTTTCGGCGACTCCGACTCCGACTCCGACTCCGGCTTTCAAAAACCAGCTCCGACTCCGACTCCGACTCCGGGCAGAATTGTCGACTCCGATTGACTCCAACTCCCGACTCCGACTCCGCAGACCTAGCAGGGCTGCGGAGTCGACAGATTTTCGGTGACTCCGACTCCGACTCCGGCTCGGGTTTCTAAAATCGACTCCGACTCCGACTCCGACTCCGGTCACAACTGTCGACTCCGACCGACTCCGACTCCGACTCCGACTCCGACTCCGCAGCCCTGATCGGCGGGACGTGCGCCCACCTGCGGTCGGCGCCGCCCCGGCTGAGCCGCTAATATGGCACGTACCTGCAGCAAAGGCTGCTCGATTTCCCACGTGCGGCCGCGTTGCTTTGTATAATTGAACGTTTAGTCGGAATCCGGAGACTGAAATAGGTAGATGTTCCGATGCAGCAAAAGAAAAGTGATATTGGTATTCTCGCCCAGCCGGAGGGGAGGGGGGGGGGGATCGACGAAACCCTATCGAGTTTTTCTGGTCATAAACAAGCATTCAAACTACTTGCATTCAATCTACTAACGATGTCACACAGATGCCCGCTCCCATCATTGGATGCCCTACTCAGGCACAGCCTTGCCTCCAGATTAGGTATGTATAAGAGCCGCGGGGACGGCAGCGTCGCCTATTGTGCCGCTCCTCTCCATCTTACATGTGCTGGCCGGACAATGTGCTGTGTGTTGTGTGCCGTGTGTGTGTGTGTGTGTAATATAGACGGGCGCCGTGTCGGCCGCGGCCAATGGTGGCCGCGTTGGCGGCGGGCGCGCGGCGCCGCCGGCCGCTGCCCGTGTCACCGACAGAGATGGACTGCGGGTCACTCGGATGACGATGGATGGTTCGCCGCACCGCACCGCGCCGCGCCGCCGGTAAAACAGAGCCCCTCCCCGACCGGGGGAGGCCGGAGAGCAGAGCCGTGGCGGAGCGGGCGGCGGCATCGCTGAGCGCTCGGAGCGGGACCAGGCAGCAGCCGAGTGTGAAACAGAAACGAATGGCCGGCATGCTTGTCTTCAAAACAAATTGTCCGTCCGCTCCGGCACAGACGTCACCGAGACGAATGGGACAATGGGCTTTGAGATGCCGTTATCCGGCACGCATTGAATTAGGTAGTTTATAAACTACATTAAGTATGCATAATTGTTCTGTTGTAGGTAAATGCAGGTACAATAATTTAACTTCAAACTGCTATATGGAACTAGGAATCATACCTATCATCAAGCAATCATCGATGCAATTTTGATGAGAGCCTTTGTTTTAGCGTGTCTACAATTAAGCCATCTTATTTTTCGACCCCTACTCTCTTACCAAAATTAGTACATGCTGAAAAGTTGAAGGTTATTGCAATACAAGGTATAGTATTGAAACGAGGGCAGCCTCCACCGTTTATGCCTTTGGCTGTGTCCGCCAAATGAGGAGGTCATTTCATCGTGACCCGAGTGCATCAGCGGGCTGTGAGCAGCTCCCAGTAGTCATTAGTCTCAGTATGACAACTGGCGACGGACACTGACTGATTCAGGCCCGTCGCGCAGGGACAAATCGAGACTGATTGCCGACATAAGGTATCATTGCGTCGCGGTGGGGAATCACTTTTTAGTTTGTGATGGCAGAGCAGGACACTCATAAGAGGTGGAGGGGCGGACCAGGGGCCATGAGGTGGGCCAACAGCGCTCAGATCTGGCTGGGATGCTCACAGTATGAGCATACCGGGCGTGAAATTACCATGAAGTCCTCTCAGCAAACGATCTAAAATCTTATCGTGCATATGCTATATATTCGTTTGCTAAAGTAAGATTATAATGGCAATGAAAGTAAAAAGCGCATTACTAAGAGTTAGAGCTTACATTTGCTTTTTTATAAAGAGCACATACCTTTTCAATTAGTTTTAAGTGTTTTCCTAAAGCGTCGTTAAATCTAATGATACGTTTTTACCTAGCGTTCCCGGAAATTCTGCTAGCCCTAGCGGATAACGCAATATCGCTATACGGAAGCAAACGATTCCACTCATCGACTCTCTGGGTACTAAATAGTAGTTCTTATGCATTTATATAGGTGTACTGGTAAATGGTTCTGCAAAAGAAATGTTTCTTTTGTCGATAGCTGCATTTTTATGTTTCTTCTGTCCATCAGGTAATACATGGAACTATAAAGGGCATGTGGGCCATTAGCGTGCTAAACCACTTTCCAAGGCGACTTAATTGTTATCGATTACCTACCTGTCAATGCAACTCGTGACATGACCCTGTATATTCAAGATGTTATTTGAAAGTGCCTTTCATCGGCAATTTAGGGAAATGGTCGACTTTACATTCTCTTTGTATCCAACTCCTCGGAAAATGAGCAATATAATTAGATCGCCGTCCAATTACTGGACACTAAAATCTGACAAATCCCTCCAACTTCTGGGTGGTTCTCGGGGCTATGTTTTCCAGCGATACTTCAGCCCGTCTCCATGGCAACCAAATCGGCGACCGGCCGTTAAAAGCCTCCACACAAGTTAGCCCCTGGAATCAGCGTGTGTAAAATTGGAGCCGAGCCTGCAGTCGGCGCGGCGGCCGAATCGCCGGCTAAATGTCACGCCACGAGCCGCCGGCAGGGCCCAATGGGCTGACGAGCCGGCGGCCGACGGGCCGACGGGCCGACGCACCGCCGCCGGCCGGGATTTGGCCTCGGGCGAGCGGCGGCGTGACGTCACACTCTGACCTGGCGTCCCGCGAGCGGCTCCGCCAGCCCAGCCGCCGCTCCATGCATAATGCAGGGACGCTGTGCCGACCAAGCGGCAACGGCGCTCCCCGGCGGCCGGCGGCGCACCGCGGTAAAAATAGCCGACCGGCCAGACCGGACCGTCTCTCCCATCCGTCCGTCTCCGTCTCCGTACCGCCCCTGTCCCGTATCTGTCCCCTTCGTCCAGCCTCAGTCCCATCCCGTCCCGTCCCGTCCCGTCCGTCCGTTCGTCCGTCTCCGTCTCCGTCCAGTCTCTGTACCGTCTCCCTCTCGT